TGTGTCCTAAGATTCGAAAGATCTTGGACAAACATAGAGAAGATGGCTGAGTGCATTCCAATTAAGGCAGATGATAACAATTATCAAATTTCTTGCCCTGGTGGAGAACAGTATGTTGTGGTTCTTGACAAAAGAACATGTGCATGTAGGGCTTGGGAGTTGAGTGGTATACCTTGCTCACATGCTCTTAGAGCCATTATCAACCAAAAAGAAGACCCAGTTGACTTTGTGAGCCTTTTTTACTCAGTAGAGTCCTACAAAATGGCATATGAGTGTGAAATCATGCCAATGAGTGGTGAATCTGTATGGGGGCAGACTTCTTATGTTCCTCCCTTATCCCCCATTCCTGGTAAGAAAAGAAGAGGCTGACCCACTTCTTTGAGAAGAAGAGAACTTGATGAACCGAGGGGTAAAAGGAAGAGGTCAACTTGTCCATATAAGCTTAAGAAACAACAAACAACTATAAGGTATTCTAAATGCTATGAAGCAGGTCACAATGCTCTCAGATGCAAGGTAAATTGAAATGTTGTCCTTACATTTTTTTCTTTTCTTAACAAAATCATGTATTTGAATTGATTGCTCATTCTAAGAAACTTCTTATGATTATGTATATTGCCTAGGTGACTGTACCACAACAACAGGAAGCAAATGCAAATGCCAATATCCCTATCAGGACGGAGAAGTTGAAGGTAAAATGACATCTTTTTCTTACAAAATATGAATTTGAATTAATTGCTCCTTATCCACATTGCTAGGTTACTAAGAAAAACACAGATGGGGTTGTAAAGTCTTGTGATGCACCACAGCAACAACAGCAGGTTCATGCAAATGCCAATATTTTACCACCCACAACAGATGATTTGATGAATAATGTGATATCAAATGAGGAGTTGATGACAACAATTAATAACTATAGTGAGATGGACTCCTATCAACATGAGCAGCCTCAGGCACAAGTATATTTCTTATTTTTACTATGTATTTTGTTTGCTCATTACAACATTCCCTGTAATTATTTATATTTTTCAGGTTAATGCACAACAACAGAAGAAAAATGCAAATCCAAAGATTTTACCACCCACCCAAGAGGATCTGATGGATAGTGTGATTTCAGATCAGAATTTGATTGCAACAATTGAAAGCCAGGTGGACAACAACATATATCAATATGTGCAGCCTCACAAGCCATATTGAGCAGCTGAAAATGTCCTCAAACCAGCCACATGTGACTAACCCTCTGCATATTAGGATCAATATAAGAGCACCTCCCACCAATCACAGGAGGATATACCAGACCTGTTGGGGTATACAGTAAAGCAAACTTTTATGTGAGCTTTTGGATTGTATTTATTCGATTTCCCATTTAACTAAAATAAATGTTTTCACATTGTTGCATTCTTTATGATTGCTTGTATGCTAAATGTCCAATTATCTTATATTGTAGACAATGTGGTGTGTTTGCAGTCACACAGAAGATTACATTGTCGGTCCCTTATAAGATATAAATGGTATTCACA